TTTTAATTCATGCTCTAAGCATCTTTAGCGCGACCACGGGTGTAACTATCCTTCGACTTGAAGTATTACGTTTTCTGCATATGTGAACCCGCATACTTTGATGCATTGTCCTAAGCCATATGAAATAAGGATGGTATACAGGCTTTGTTTTGGGTATGCCGCAGCGCGTATTCAGAAACGTAGATTACGTACATAGGATTTGTCACTAATATTTTTAAAGAGATTAATGTCTTATGGGGCCCACTGATAAGTTATGACTAAGGAAATTGCATGGCCATGCTGAGATGCTTTTATGATGTCTGTTCCTATTAGTCAGACTTGATAAATCAGTGAATGACTTAATGGATACAAGATGGATTTTTTTTTAATCCCTTGCATTAAGTTTAGATATTGAGACAAAAGGATATAGTTACACGGAGTCTGAGTCGTGGAAATGTTTTGACGGTGCAAACGTCTTAACTTATAATCTGGGGCAATAATGTGTTGCTAGATACCGCTTATTGCTTATAGTACCGGTGCAGAGCCAATACTGTGGCCAGCTTTATAAGTGCCTATACGGGTCACACACTTTGAACAATTTAAGGAGTAGGATTAAACAATGGGATAATAAGTGATTTGTATATTTGTAAAATAGTAAAATAAAATATTTTGGAATATAATATTATATATATATATTCGGTTATATATATATATATATATTTTATATATATGTGCCGATTAATATATATATATATATATATATATATTATATTGAATATTTTATTTTTGTTTGTCATTTTAATTATAAAAATAATTATTTTGACATAAACTATTTAAAGTATATTTGTATACTTGTTTAAAAATGATATGAGTATTTGTATTTGATTTAAAATTAATTTAATATTATTTTTTGGTGTCAAATAAAATACACTTTGAACATTTAAGTGGAGAAGAATTTTGAAAATCCTTCTCAAAATCATCATTCGGCCATATGAGGATTTAATGAATCAAAATTATGTCTTGATTGATTCTTGAGTGGCTAAATTGATTTGTCATATTAGCTAATGAAAAAATCAATTAATAATCATACTTTATTTAAACCACACACATCATTAGCTAACCATGGGATTTTTTTAAAAAGGATTTTTGGCCACCATTATTTCTTGAGAGAGAAAAATTCTTTTGTGTTGCATTAATATCATTTTGTGTATAGAAAATATCTATAATATTTTCTAAATATTTTTAGAAATATTTTCTATAGAAATATACAAGATTATTATTATCCCAATTTTAATCTTTATATTTTATACTACTATAATCTTTACTAGCATAAAGATTGTGGTAGACTCCAGCGTTGTTCGTGTGTCAAAGTTGGAGACCGGACGCTTGAACGGTTACGTTTGCACTTTCAACGCTCTTCCTACGACTTCTTCGTTTCTACCGCTTACGGAGAAAGGTACAAATTTCTTACTACTATAAGTTTTAGTACGTGATTCTGGGCAAGATAATCATGTTAGGATGTTAAAATATTTATATCCCGCTGCCTATCCTTGCATGGTTACCTTTCACGTTTGACACACAAAATATTTTTGGGACTCATTTTCTACACCAAATATTCTTTCTCATAATTCAAAATTGAATTTGAATTATTTTATTTGAATTGGGAGCCTCCTTATCCTGATTTCCTAATGTGACACTTTAACAGGTTGATGTAATTATTTTTTGTAAAATACACGAAGACTTAAAGTCAGGGTGTTACTGGTTGTGTTCAATATCTGGCCTAATTATTCTCTTCAATACACCAACACTTCATATATGTGTGTTGCTATTTATGTTCTATACACCAACACTTAATGTCTGTGTGCTAATTTTTCGGTTAAATACACCCATACGTAAACATAGAAAGTGTTACTAGTTGTGTTGAAAAACCAACACTTAATATGTGTTTTTTTATGAATCAGTTAAATACACCAACGCTTCATATAGGTGTGTTACTGTTTCTCTTCAATACCCCAACACTTAATGTCTGTGTCCTCTTGTTTTTGTTAAAAACACCATGACTTAATGTCAGGATGTAAGTGGTTGTGTACAATTAACAAACACTGAATATGTGTATTGTACTGATTTTGTGGAATACACCAACACTTCATATATGTGTGTTAAGGGTTCTGTTCAATACACCATTACTTACTATCCGTGTGTTATTGTTTATCTTCAATACACCAACACTTAATGTGAGTGTGGTACCACTTATCTTCAAACATTTGAGACAATAATAATATTACACTTAAGCAGTCACAATTGTTCCAGAATCAAAAAAATATATGTTTGTGTTTTAAATTGGCAAATACATATTCATAAAGTGAGTAATCATTACAAGGCTAAAAAAATGCCTTTCATATATTAGCATGGAGGGATAAGCAGTCATAGTTGTGCGTTAATCAAAAAATATATATTGCACAAGCTTTAGGCGACCGTCTTCCGAAATATACGTGCTGCAAATAGCCTACGGAAGTCGTCCACATGTTCGTGCGTGCAGTCAGGACGTAGGGGCAAACCAGCCAAGAGGTACTCCGCAAATACAAGGATCATAACACCACATGCGATTCCATCGGACTGCTGGGGCACATCCTTGGCGAGCTCCAGTCTCCATGGTTGAGTACTTCTCTGTTCCTCGGTGGTTTTGACAGTTCGAAAAAGGGGAGGCAGTCTTTCAACGATAGGACGCACATAGGATTTGCTCTGTGCACCCTTCAACGAATCATATACCCAAACAGTCGCATTGGGGAAATCAAGCTCTGCTAAAATCCAATGCCGGTTTCTAACGTAGATAGTCATGAAGATCTACACAAAGATATTCATTCACGGAACACGTAAGTAAAAAAGCAGTTCTTTAGCCTGGCACTTCATGACTCTGCTATTCTGTTTCGTAAGAATTGGACTGACAGTTCTTGACATGAAGAAATTACCTTTTCCATTTGGCTCTAGTCCAACTTCCGTAGCATCGTATCCCGTAGCAAGGAATGGTCCAAAGTACTTTTCAGGGTGAGATGATACTATAAAAAAATATTAGGGCTTATCGTGTAAACTAAATATGTAATTTTTTTGGAAATAATTATCGTGAACATTGGACCATATAAACATCGGCCTTGCACTCCAATGAGCTCAGCCCTAGACATTAATAACTCTACAACGGTTTGAACATGCTAATAGGAAAGGAAAAAAATTAGATCAAAAGACACTCAGTAATGCACTGCTGTAATGCATAAGCTTGTATTTTTAGAAAACTTACATCACTACTTAACCACGAATCATTGGCCAACAAAGTCCTGAAGAAATGACGGGCAACCTCGTGAACAAATTGACACTGCAGGCTGAGTTTTTTGGATTTGTGTCCTCTTCTTCTTCAACCCAACATTTGAACCGTTCCCATTCACTAGGGGTGACTTGAATGGCTAGAGGATTGGGGTGTACTTTGACCTTCATAGCCATTGTTGGATTGATGTAGGGGCTTAGACAGTACCTAGATTTCTTCCATAGCCTAGTTTCCCGGGCCACAGGCTATTGTCAAAGTAAGAAGCGCCATGGTTATAAGTGAAATCTTATCTAATAAAGCTTGCAAGTACATATGACTGAAAATAAAGATAACGATAATGGGTAGAAAATAAATCTTATCTAATTAAAGAATATATTAACAAGGGCACATACTCAATTGGGTAGAAAATGGACCACTACTCAGGCATTTGGGTAGAAAATGTAGGTGTGAAGCTGTTGTACAGCTTTGCCCAGACATTCACTAAAATGATTATACTTCAAGGTTTTTTTTGAAAAAAATTTGGCCTTCACTGTCATTTTGGGTAGTCATTGAACGACATGAATGTATAAACAACATAAAATTGAGTGTGCAGAAATGAGAGGTCAATGAATATATTAACATGGCCACATACTCAATTGGGTAGGAAATGGACCATTACTCAGGCATTTGGGCAGAAATGTAGGTGTGAAGCTGTTGTACAGCTTTGCCCAGGCATCCACTAAAATGATTATACATGAAGGTATATTTTGACAAAAAAAAATTGCAGTAAACTTAAGAGAAAAACACACCAAACTTAAGAGAATATTACAGTAGCTTTGCATTTAGGGTTTCTAAACAATTTTTGGGAAAAGAGGTGCAATTGCAAAAGGAGGAGCAATTACCTTGTTGGCGGACCACCGGCGGTAGAGAGGAGGCGTGTGAAGAGGGCAAAGAGTGGGCTTGTGATGACGGCAGAGATGGATTGCTGTGAATGACAATCGGAAGACGAGGAGGACACAGACCAGGGGGCAGAGGCGAGGAGGACACAGACTAGGACGGGAGAGACGAAGGTAGGTGTGAGAAGGACACGGACCACCGGCGGCAGAGACGAGTGTGAAGACGGCGAGGAGGAAATTCAGACCAAAAAAAAAAGAAACCGAGGAGACAGAAGGTTGAGAGGCAAAGTGAATTTGGTGAGGGATTACTTGCACATGTGGGTGGGGGGTTGATTGCACGTGTAGGGTGGGGGGTCTTTTATGTTGGGGTAAATGGGGAACTTTGGGGTGTAAGTAGCATTATCCTTGATGGACAGCAGCCGTCATGTCGGCAGTGGTTCAATACGGCGACGCTATCTTACTTGCGTCTTCGTCTCACTCACTGACGGAGGACGAAACAAATTAAACACGTTTCCCTTTCGTCAACTCCCAGTCAGACATGGCGGCCGCCTCTCTTTCCCGGCCAAACTTCACCGTCCTCTCACCTCTTCTCCTCCTCCTCCTCCTCCTCTTCTCCTCCGCCGATGGCGCCGCTCCCGGCGAGCTTCACTCCCTCCTGTCCCTCAAGTCCGCCCTCCGGACCCCTGGCACCGGCGTGTTCGACAACTGGGTCGCCGGCAACTCGCCCTGCAACTTCACCGGTATCACGTGCAATTCCGCCGGCTCCGTCGCGGAAATCGACCTCTCCCGCCAAAACCTCCGCGGGTCTCTCTCCCTTGACCCTCTCTGCTCGCTCGACTCGCTGGAGAAGCTCTCGCTCGCCCAAAACTCGCTCTCCGGCGAAGTCACCGGCGACTTGAATAAGTGCGTCGGGTTGAAATTCTTAGACTTCGGGAACAATTCCTTCTCCGGGTCGATGCCGGAGATTCAGTCTCTCAATCAGATGACCCATCTGTACATGAATCGCAGTGGGTTTTCTGGGATCATCCCGTGGAAATCTCTGGAAAACATGACCAATTTGGAGGTTCTTAGCCTCGGCGACAATCCGTTTAACAGAGCGCCGGTGCCGGAAGCGATCGGGAGACTTTCAAGATTGAAAGTGCTCTACTTATCCAATTGTAGTCTGGAAGGAGAAATCCCAGAAGGGATTGGAAATCTCACGGGGCTGATAAACTTGGAGCTATCCATGAATTACCTCTCCGGAGAAATTCCCCGGGGGATTTCGAACCTCACGAAACTGCGGGAGCTCGAGCTCTACTCCAACGGGCTCACCGGAGGGTTGCCCAAAGGCTTCGGAGATCTCTCCGGCCTCGAACTCCTGGACGCATCCACCAACCATCTTTCCGGGGATATATCTGAAATCAGGCGCCTGGAAAAGCTGGCGAGTCTGCAGCTTTTTGATAACCGATTTTCCGGCGAAGTCCCGGCGGAGTTGGGGGAGTTCAAGAATCTGATCAATTTGTCGCTTTACGCCAACAGATTCACCGGACCGCTTCCGCCCATGCTCGGGTCGTGGTCAGACTTCAATTTCATCGACGTGTCGGAGAATTTCTTCTCCGGGCCAATCCCGCCGGAGATGTGCAAACAGGGGAAGATGGTGAAACTCTTGGTTCTCCAGAACAACTTCACCGGAGAAATCCCAGAAGCTTACGGCAGTTGCACGACCCTCGAACGTTTCCGGGTGAGCAAGAACTCACTCTCTGGCCCAATTCCCACCCGAATTTGGGGTCTGCCGAATCTTGAAATCCTAGACATAGGTGACAATGGATTGGAAGGCCCTTTAACTTCGGAAATCGGAAACGCGAAGAATCTGGGACAGTTGTTTCTTGCCAATAACAAACTCACCGGCGATTTGCCCCCGGAAATCGCAGGTGCCTCGGCATTAGTGGCAATTCTATTAACCAATAATCAGTTCTCAGGCGAAATCCCCGGAGCCATCGGAGATCTCAAACAGCTGGATACTCTTCAGTTATCAAACAATGAATTCTCCGGTTCAATCCCAGACTCAATAGGTTCTTGTCTGTCCCTCAGTGACATAAACATAGCCCACAATTCTCTTACAGGGAATATTCCGGCGACCCTGGGGTCACTACCCACCCTGACATCCCTGAATCTGTCCGGAAACAGAATCTCCGGCCGAATTCCGGGCACTTTGTCATCCTTAAAGCTCAATCTCCTAGATTTGTCCAACAATCAACTAACCGGCCCCATTCTGGAGTCTCTTTCTGTTGAGGCCAATAATCGCAGCTTCGCCGGAAACGATGGCCTTTGTAGCCAGAACAATATCAAATTTCTCCGGCGATGTCCGAAAGAATTCACCAAATCACATGATCTTCGCACTCTTGTGCTCTGTTTGGTGGCCATTACAATCGCCATGATATTTCTTTCTTTGTCTTGTTTATTCTACTTTAAGGGCAGATGCACAAAGAAGGATGCTAATGAGCACTCCTGGAAGGAAGACTCATGGGACGTAAAATCCTTCCGTTTCTTGAGCTTCACCGAGGACGAAATCCTAGACGCCGTCAGACAAGAAAATTTGATCGGAAAAGGTGGGTCCGGGAGTGTGTACAAAGTCGTGTTGAGAAATGGTGAAAAATTGGCCGTGAAACACATATGGAACTGGGACGAAACCCGGAGGCGAGTGTTGGGTGGGCCCACGGCTCCCATTCTGGGAAAGCATGGGACGAAGTCGAAGGAATTCGAGGCAGAGGTCCAAACTCTTAGCTCAGTGAGGCATGTAAATGTGGTGAAACTTTATTGCAGCATAACAAGTGAGGACTCAAGCCTGTTGGTTTATGAATATATGCCGAATGGGAGTTTGTGGAACTGGTTGCACAATTGCCGAAAGGGTGAGTTTGGTTGGGACATGAGGTACGAGGTTGCGATTGGAGCAGCCAGGGGATTGGAGTACCTCCATCACGGATGTGACCGTCCCGTGATTCATCGCGATGTCAAGTCTAGTAATATTTTGTTGGACGAGGATTTCAAGCCGAGGATTGCCGACTTCGGTCTTGCCAAGATTGTTCAACCCCATTCTTACAAAGATTCAACTCATGTCATTGCTGGCACTTATGGGTACATTGCCCCGGGTAAAAGACAATCTTTCTTGGCCTTACAACCACGCACATGTTTGAGTTTTTGGTTTACTTGGTTCCTTGACATCCCAAACCTCATTGCGGATTATTTTGTTTTACACAAATTGTGTGATCATCACAAGACCCTAATTAGTTCACACCATTTCTTTATGTTCTATTTTTACCCATAAAAAACCAAAGATTTGGGAAATGGTGCAAGAACAACAAAACCCCAATTTTTTCAATTTTAAAACAGAAAATATAGGAAGTTTTTCTCGATTAGTAGGAAAATAGCTACTTAGGCATTTTTTTTTTGAAAAAGAAGAAGAAACCAGAAGCCCTGACTTTTGTTGCATGCACATTGTAGAATATGGATATACCCACAAAGTGAACGAGAAGAGCGACGTATATAGCTTTGGAGTAGTGCTGATGGAGCTTGTATCGGGGAAAAGGGCGATAGAACCGGTGTATGGAGACAACAACGACATTGTGAGTTGGGTGAGCAACAAACTGAAGAACAAAGAAAGCATGGAAAGCATAGTTGATTCAAGTATCGGAGACCCCCACCGAGGAGATGCTGTCGAAGTGTTAAAGATAGCCATTATGTGCACGGCTAGGCTGCCGAGTCTAAGGCCAAGTATGAGGAACGTAGTTAAAATGCTAGAAGGCGTAACGCCTTGCCGGGTTTTAGGGATTACAGTTGGGAAAGATGGTGGTAACAAGTTGGAGTTGCCTTAAAATTATTTATGGAGACTAGTTGATTAAGTGTGTCTTTGTGACCTTAAATTTTGAATTTTGTGACATAGCAGCCTTAAAAGTGTAACGTTTTGGTGGAGTGTTGTTGTTGTTGTGAAGTGGCCATAGACACGAATTAAGTATGCAAAATATGTACGGGAAGTAGTAATCCTGGATGGGAGAGTATCACATTTTGGCTCTGTACAATAGTAAATAAAATTACATCTTTTTTGTAATGTTATCTTTTAGGGGTCTGTTAGTAGTTTTTATATGCACTTCAGTGTAAAGCAATACACTAGCACCACACCAACACAAACTATTGGTGCATGTCTTCGGAATATAAAGTGGGTACAATTTTCAGGGTACAAATATTATTTCCCTTTTTATATTCATATGTTTGACTTAAATTGGAAAAAAATATGTCTATTAATAATAGTGAGTATGCAACTATGCATCTTACTGTAAAAATAACAAATAATGCTTTATAGTTTGAATGAATAGAAGAGGAATACAAAGTATGTATTTATAGGTGGAGGAATATATTCTAGAATCCTCCACATTAATGACTAATTATATAAGGTAATATTATCTAATAGTAACTCTAACTATAATAGGTAACAACCATAATTATAATATATAATATTAAATATATTAAATAATTGATATATTTAACATGCTCCCAACGTCCTGAACGGTGAAAATTGAATGCCAACTTTACTTGAATCGTGACCATAATTGTAATCAAAAGCTAGAGGCATATCTTCGGCTAGAGTAGACTGAATGCATCCGGCCTAGAAGAGAAGAAGAAGAAAGATTGCCAGGAAAGAGATGTGAAGGTGTTGATGAGGAGAGGAGAAAAGCCGCTGCGAACAGACTCATGTTGCTGACGTCGAAAGAGAGAGAAGGTTGACGGGCGCTAGAGTTGTGCGCGACTGGGTTAGAGAAGAAACACAAGAAATGAGGTACTGCCAGAGATGCATGTTGACCGAAGATCTACCCACTAAGCAGGTTGAGGTGATGATCTTGGCGCCAGTAGTTTGGTGGAGTAGGGGTCGCCGGTCAGAGCTGCGGCGCTTAGGAGAAGAGGATGGCGTTAGAGATGCCGGTGATTATAACAGAGTTTTTTTTTTGTATAACAAAAAAAACTAGAAAACTTGGTTGTTTTAGGAGATGGTGAAGAATTTGGGTCAAAGGAAAACAGTGATCCAGCGGGCGGTAGTTAATGGCGGTGCCGCCCGCCAGAAGCGAAAGCGGAGAAATTTAGGTCACCAAGAACGGTGGCTCTGATACCATGTAAAAATAACAAATAATGCTTTATAGCTTGAATGAATAGAATAGGAATACAAAGTATGTATTTATAGGTGGAGGAATATATTCTAGAATCCTTCACATTAATGACTAATTATATAAGGTAATATTATATAATAATAACTCTAACTATAATAGGTAACAACCATATTTATAATATATAATATTAAATATATTGAATAATTGATATATTTAACACTTACTCCCTGCAGTAAATGTGCCCCAACAAATTTTGTAATCCCTCCATTCACCAAAATCCTATCTCTTTCATATCTTTCTCTTTCACTAAAACATTTTCACTTTCCTATTAAAAACTTATTTTACTCTTAATTTTTCTTACCCCTATCACATCATACATTTTCAATAATTATCTACTTCTTATATCTTATTTTAACTCATTACATCAAGAGTAAAATTGGAAAGTCACTTACAAATATACACTTATTATTTCTCTCATTAGTCAAAATATGAACCTTTTTGGTGAACTACGGGATTACAAAGTAATTGCTTCCTCACTAGTGGGAAAATTACGCGAAATAAGTGTGCAAAATATAAATTAAATGAATTGAAAAACTTAAAATTTTGCTTTGTTTTACATAATGTGACAAACATTTTGAGATAGAAGATGTATAAAGTTATCTTTTAGGTGTCTGATGGAAATTTTATATGCATCTCTTTGATTTAATTGAATTGAAAAAATATGTGTCTTGTTTATAGTATGCAAGTATGCATCTCTTTAGTCTACCATAGTGCACCACGAAGAGGGTTACGTTCCGCGAGCTAATGTGGCGTTGCCATCTTGGCAGTCTCACTGAGTCAACAACGTCCCTCTATGGCGTGAGAGACATTCATGATCAGCGCCAATGGATACATCCACGAAAGGTAATGTTAAATAAGGAAGGAATATATTTTCATATATTCCCGTATATATTATTTTGGTAGTTTCCCATATATATTGATTTATTTTCTTTTGTATCTAGTTTCCATATAGAGTTCTCAACTTGTGGGATCCTATATATACGGCCTTTGTTCATATTGTGATCATGAGAAAATACAAGAGAATTTCTTCCAATTAAGTTCTTTCATGGTATCGGAGCCTAAAACCTAAAATAATTTCTAAATTTTGACCGATCGGCACTGAGCCGTCCGCCTCCTACGTTTAGTTTCCGCCAGTGTTGATACGATGGTCGAACGGCACGGTCTAGCCCATAGACCGTTTCGTTGTTTCTTTGCTTCTGTTGTTACGAGGGTCCATCAAACGGTCCATCACATCGAGTGTTCGCATCGACCGTTTCGCCGCTGCTGTTTTCTTCGCCACTGTCGTACGCCACTCTGCTACCGCCATGGCCGATGAACAACCAAGGAAGGTATTTTCGTCCGAAGAAAATGACAATCATGAGAGAGGGTCCTCTCTGTTGCCAAATTTTGATGATCTAACTTCGGAACAGTGGAACTCTGTTTGTCTTGCTCCAGCCTTGCCGTCGTCGTGTGCCCGTTGCCGTTGCCTCGCCGTCGTCAACTCCCCATCCTAGCCGTTGCCGTGCCCGTGCCGCCTCGTGCCCTACTCCACTTCGACCTCGTCCACCTCACCCTCACCGTCGCCGTGGGGTTCTGCCGCCTTGTGCTCTGCTGCCCCGCCTCTCCGTTGTCAACTCCCAGCCTCGCCGTCGTGTTTCTTTAAGGTATTTTATTTTATTTTTTTAACATTAAATATTTAGTTATACTATTATTTGTTTATACATTCCTAGATTAGGTTAATATTTAATTTACTATATATTTGAATTGGTTTTGTGTATATGTTTAAGTTGAAATGTGACATTGTGATATAGATTGCGTTTCAAAAATAGATTGTTTACTTACTTTGTGTTTGATTCTACATGATCTGAGATGTTATAATATAGAAATAACATATATTGACCGACCTAGATACCCGTTTAAAATTTACTCATTAGGAGTAAATTTTAAATAGCTCCAAATTTGGAGGTATTCTTGAAATGCTTCTCTCACTTAGGTAGTGAATGTATTTCTTTCTCTTTGTTTCGTCATTTTTTGGTTTGACATTTCCTAAGTGTGTTCTTCGGGTGCATATGTAATTACGTTACATCGTGCACTTGGAGAACCATTGGGAAATGCTGTCGAAATTTTGATAGGTCAAAGAAAATGAAATACATTTACTAGTGAGAGTGGCATTTCAAGAATGGGTTAGGATGGTGTAAAGAAGGACCATTTGTATAATGAAGAAGTGCTGCCGGATTTTTGTTACATCATAAAAAATAAAATATTGTGTTTTGCCTATATTTCTTATATGTTTGTGTGTATATATAAAATGAGTATTAATAATTTTGTTGTGCATTGTTTTGCATGTATCAATCATTTGCCCTTCTTTCTTGCTTAGCAATTCATATGATGGATAGAAGTTGGATTCATATGTCGCGTACATCACCTGAGTTTAGTTCAGGTTTGGAAGAGTTTATTCGTTTCACAGAGAAACATTCAAAAGAAGGAAAAAAGCTATATTGTCCTTGTAACTCATGTCAAAACCATTTTATGGTTGATAGCATTAAAGATATAAGATTACATGTGTATCGCAAGGGTTTTGACCCAACATACCTGCGATGGAAATGACATGAAGAGTTAGAAAATCCTTGCAACTCTAGCTATACTCATAATGACCAAGTCGAGGATGATATTCACGACATCCACAATCTTGAGGTTGAAATGGAAGATGAGTTAGGGGCCACTCAAGATGTTCCTCCTGATCAAGTCGTCATTGATGAAGAGCGTAATATGTATGAGAGCTTAGTAGGAAGCTCAAAATGCCCGTTGTATCCTGGTTGTACAAAGTTTACACGTTTAAAGGGGGTTTTGGAATTGTTCAATTTAATTTAGGTTTGAAGTTTGGTTTACGTTTACTTGTTTCTGACATTAGTTTACTAATTGTTTTTTGTAGGTTGCTGCTAATTACTTGAGGATCTCTGATCCAGCCGATTATATAGTGGCACATGGATCGGTTTTCCCACGTGCACCGGGAGATATGGTGCACGGTGTTCCCCTCCTTCCTCACCAGGTTAAGGTCTCTGTGACCATAGTGCTTCCTGGAATGGGTGAGTATACCATTCCTTGTCTGTTTGAGCATATAGAGAGTCGTTGCATGGCGAAAGTCGTTGGTGGGCTTTGGAGATGTAAGAAGTAAATAAATTTAGTTCTTTTTTATTCAACATCATTTGGCTGTGTTTCAAATATCTTTATTTTGAAAATATTCGTAGCCCCCGTTGCACACGGCTCGACATGGCGACTTCTCATCAAGCAAATCCCGACCTATTCTTGGTGTATGCCCCACTGCTCCTCCTAGCTCTCCCGTACAGGATGTTGTTGACCGGAGCTCATACGTCTCATTCGGGCTGAGGTGCAGGGAGTTGTGTCAGTGGCTGACACGCACATCAGATTTGCCTACCATCAGCGTCATTCTCGATCCTGAGTCTATGCTCTATCCGGAGGAGACGGGGTTGAGGATGCGTCTGGAGAATATACGTGACTTCATGCGATGGGAGGAGGTCGATCAGACCATCATCATTGTTTTCTTGAGGTATTTCAAGCACTACGTATGAATAAATTACTATTGTAAATTATAATTATTTGTTATAATTGTAATTATTATTTACATGTGAAATTACTAGATTATTGCACGATCATATGATGGAGCACGACATCGCGTCTGTCGGGTTATTATGTCCGGAGAACATGGCGTACGTGGTAGATTTTGGAGATTGCCAGTATCTGGATAGAGCACTCGATACCTATCAATCGCGACCCTGGATACTTATGCCATTGTATCTATCGATACCGTATGTTTTCTAAACCATTTCCAATATGTATTTCGGTTTTTTATTTTACATATAGTGACTAACGCTTTTTCAATTGTAGGCATCATTGGATGTTAGTTTTAATATGTTTGTTTCAAAACAAAGTATATTTCCTAAACTCAATCAAGGCGACTGAAGGGCATAAGAAAATGAAGGTGAAGACTTTCATCAACTAGTAAGTATTACGAAATTTAATTCTTATTAATGAAATTCTTTATTTGTTAAGATATTAATTTCTTATTGACTTGTTTTTTACATATATTAAAGGTCTTGGATTGATGTTCCCGGAGTACCCCAACAAGTAGGGAACGTTGAGTGTGGTTATTATACCATGCGATTTTGTTGGCTCATCGTCAGTATGTGTGCACAATGTTCTTTACCGTTATCCTATGTAAGTTTATTTTAGTGTGTTTTTGAAAGTAATGAAGTGTTTATCATCATTTTCTTTTTCATAGATTATTAAACTTTATGTTGTATGTTCTTTTTGTAATGCAGGTGTTTCAGTCTACTTCGCCTTATACTAGAGCCGAATTAGAAGAGATTAGAGAGTTTTGGGCTGGGGGTTTTCTCGATGAACTAGCGTAAGTTTCGTACTGTATTGTATAGTATTAGTTGTATGGATATGTTAGAAGAGTGTAGTTGTTTGACTCTTAGTTGTGGTGTTAAAACTTAGTTTGTACATGTTGATTTCAGCAACAGGAAAGATCACGACTTATTCGAATAAACTAAAGATTATTCGAATAGAAAGGCAACTTCCCCACACAAAGGCTGATTTAAAATGAGTTTTAAAGGTAAGATGATAAGGGAATGAACCTTAGAGATGCCATACTCTTTAACACATAATCTAAGACCTAAAACACTACCCAACTAAGGAAACAACCTCTTCGGTCTCGTTCCTTCCACCGATGCTCAAGTCCCTTCTTCACGGGCGGATATGAACTTGTTGTAACTTTTGATTCTTAGCCTTGATGCACAAAATGATGATGATGTTTTGTCACCCTTTTGTCATTATCAAAACCTAAAAGACAATGGGCAAAGGACATTGCAAAAATACATATTCATGATAGCACATTGTCCAACACGATGCAAAAGCCTCTACCCAGATTCGGCGCCAATTCTGGGTAGAAGCTTTTGCATTGGTTATTACAACCGATGCAAAAAGTTATCTGAGCATTTGCATCGCTGGCTTTTGAATCGGTTAGAAACCGATTTAAAAAGGTCAAAATAACCGATTTAAAAAGTCTCTTTTGTAGTAGTGTGCGTGTATACTCCACAGCAGAATGGTAGAGTAGAACGCAAACATCGACATATACTCAATGTGGGTCGGGCTTTGAGATTTCAGGCAGGGCTTTTGTTGGGAACTACGCTTGGATAGAGCAGCGGAAATATAAAAATCATGATGTCTAAACGTAGATCCACCCAAGATCCCTTACAAAAAACTATAAGTTATTAAATAAGTATACCTTTCTTGACGAACAAGTTACGACGTGTGGCTGATGGGATTGGTCCAAGAGCTTTAGCCACAAAAGTATATGACCTCTAGTGTATACACATGAATTTTTCTCTAGAATATTTCTAAAATATAAAATATTTGGAGTAAAAGAAGAAAATACAAATTTTTCTCTCTCTTATGGCGATGGCCGAAAAATCTCATAAAGGAGAAGGGATTATCACTGTATTTATAAGGAGTATAATCACCCTTAGTTTCCTAATCCTATTAGGTATCTACCTTTTAACATTTAGGAAGGAAATCAAATTCTTCTCCTAATTAACTTGTGGTATTTTTAGCCCTACCATACTGAAAACTTCCAATTTATTTTATCAACTTTAATTATCAAATAATTAACACAAAATAAATATATTAATATATATATATATATATATATATATATACAATCACTGAACTAATATATATATAAATATATAGCACGCATATATATAAACATAAATATATAAAGTAAAATGATATTTGACAAACTTAATCATCATATAATTAAAATGTTCAAATATATATATTTTATAAATATTGTGCCATACGCAACATGTATAAATATTTTACTTTACTCCATAACAATATTCTACACAAGCAAATGTTCTATGTGTGTGACCCTCTTGTACGTTACCCATAACGTTGGCCATAGTATTAAAATACTACAAGTAACAAGCGGTATCTAGCAACACACAGTCACCCACAAGTTATAGATATGAAGCTCTTAGAACAATTCCTTCAACGACACATTACATTTAATAACTCTGATTCCTTTATCACTAATATCTTGATTTAAGACAAGACATGAGATGTGTTACCTTGTTAAAGTTAAATCAAAGGTTTACTGATTATCGCGATTGGCTTGTATGATTCAGATAATATTAATATCATGTATATTAATTTATCTGGGTATGGCCATATATACTTCACAAGTCACATCAATCAATGGGTTCATAGATATTATACTTCCAGAAAGGAGGGGATAAGTTCTATCTACCTCATTCACATTCTTTCTTAAGTTTTACTACATGACCAAGACATAATTATATGTCCACTAATATTTCAAATGTCATTAATTATATCTCAAAACATGTAGCTATACTCACCAAATATCGTAATGACTTCAAGTCCAAGGATAGTTACATAAATGGTCGTATGAAAACACTATTAACACATTTCAAGGTAAACCCATATAGTATTTTCATGGCGGGTCAATCCAGCAATATATCCAATATATTTGCCTATGTATAGATTCAGATAATGCCTTATCTATAGCATATGGGATGCATCTATCTCATCTCACACGTATTAGTCTTAATATATTATGATATCCGTATTATCATTATATTCGACTAAGGATATTTTAGATGTAGTCTCTATATTTGTAACTATCTCACAATCAGAACATTATAGTTCTCATCTATGTTACTAGATCACTAATCTATGGACTAAAGCTATGCTTAAAGTACACGAGATAATTTAAACCGTCTTCAGAGCCTTTATTCTTGAAATAATCCAAATACAAATCATAAGTTGGCCTCTAGGGCTTATATATATCAACAATCTCCAACTAGCACTAAGGCCAATTATGCATTTCTCGAATGCTCATGGACGAAATGTGACCCTCGTACTTAATCCTTCCCAGGGCTTTGGTCAATAGATATGCTAGACTATCATCTGTTCCTATCTTGCAAAATTCTACATCTCCACATTCTAGGATTTCTCGTATTATGTGATAACGTCTTACAATGTGCTTGGTTTTCTGGTGAGACCATGGTTCTTTAGCTTGTGCGACGGCCCTAGTGTTATCGCAAAACAAGGGGATGGGGTCTCGACTGCTCGGAACCACTCCAAGTTTCGTGAGGAAGTTCTTTATCCAAACACCTTCTTTTGGTACTTCGGAAGCTACCATGCACCCTGCTTCTGTAGCAGAATCTGCGATAGTGTCTTGCTTGTAGCTCTTCCAGCTTACAGCTCTGCCGTTTAGACAATAAACATAACCTACCTGTGAATTAAAGTCATCCATGTCCGTTTGGAAGCTTGCATCAGTGTAACCAGTTACTCTGAGCTCTCCCTGTTCGCCATAAACTAAGAAGGAATCCTTAGTTCTTCGTAAGTACTTAAGGATGGTCATCAAAGCCATCCAATGACTGTCACCAGGATTGGATTGGTATCTACTCGTGATACAAAGTGCATAGGCGACGTCAGGTGTCGTACATATCATGGAATAAATGATCGATCCAATGGCAGACACATATGGAACATTTTCCATGCGTTTCTTTTCTTCCTCTATGGAAGGTCCTTGAGTCTTGGAAACACTAACTCCTCAGATTACTGGAAAGTTCCCTCTCTTAGCTTCTTCCATGTGAAATCGTTTGAGAATTTTGTCAATGTATGTACTTTCACTTAAGCCAATCAGCTTCCTTGATCTATCACTATAGATCCCGATTCCAAGATCATAGCTTGCATCTACCAAGTCTTTCATGGACAAGTTCTTACTCAGCCAAGTCTTTACAGAGGATAGAGTAGGAACATCATTCCCCATTAATAATATGTCGTCTACAAATAAATCAAGAAAAACTATGGTACTCCGACTAGTCTTCTTGTACACACAAGATTCATCTTCATTTCTTTGAAACCCATAATCAGTTGCGGTCTCATGAAATCGAATATTCCAACTCTGCGAGGCTTGCTTCAATCCATAGATTGATTGCTATAACTTGCATACCTTGGCAGATTCTTTGGGGACGCGAAATCCTTCAGCTTGTGTCATGTACACTTCCTCAATGAGGTTTCCATTTATGAAATCTGTTTTTACGTCCATCTGCTAGATCCCATAATCATGATATTCTGCGATAACAAGTAGTATCCTAATGGATTTTATCATCACAACTGGAGAAAAGGTTTCATCATAGTCAATACCATGTATTTGTCTGTAACCTTTTTCTACTAATTCGCTTTGAAGGTCTTTACCTTCCCATCCATGTTAGTCTTATTTTTGAAGACCCACTTCCACCCAATTGGTTTGACTCCAGTGGGTGCATCAACCAAAGTTCATACTTGGTTTGTGTACATGGAATCTATTTTAGGTTTCATGGCTTGACGTCATTCCTCGGCCTCTAGGCCACTTATGGCCTCAAGGTAGGTCTCAGGTTCGTCGTTCTTGACGAGTAACACGTCTCTTTCACAAGTTAGGAGAAACCCATACCTCTCAGGTGGATGTCGTGTTCTCATGGACCTTCGGAGGACTTGTGTTTCTTGGGTGGGTTGAGGAACAACGACTTGTTCCTCTTGCAATCTCTCTTCATCTGGTTGTTTATCTTCTCCGTTGTCTCAAATTTCTTCGAGATCTATCTTTCTTCCATCAACTGTTTTGGACTGAAATTCCTTTTCCAAGAAAGGTTCTATTTCGGGCAACAAAAACTTTGTTTTCAGTTGGATGATAGAAATAATATACATGAGTTTCTTTTGGATATCCAACGAAGATACATTTGTCAGGTTTGGCATCAAGTTTGCCTGACGTCAACAGACGTTTAACATATGCTTCACAGTCCCAAATCTTCATGTGAGATAACCTGGTGTTCATTTTATTGCTTTAGTTGGAACTCTATTTAGAGTTTATATCGATGTGTTCAACGTGTATCCCCAAAACGAGTCTGGGAGTGTTGCATGACTCATCATGGACCGAACCATGTCCAACAGTGTTCAATTTCTCCTTTCGGATATGCCATTCCACTGCGTCGTTCTAGGAGGAGTGAGTTGGGAAAGAATCCCATGCTCTTTCAGATAGTCATCAAACTCATGGCTTAAGTATTCTCCTCCACAATCAGATCGCAAAGTTTTGATGCCCTTTCCCAGTTGTTTCTCTACTTCATTTCAAAATTCTTTGAAGATTTCAAATGATTCCGATTTGTGTTTCATCTAGAACACATAACCGTATCTATTAATATCTTCTGTAAAGGTAATGAAATATGAGAAACCTCCTCGGGATGTTATATTGAAAGGCCCACATACATCAGTATGTATGCGTGCAAGAAGATCACTAGCCCTTTCACCTTGATTGGTAAATGGAGTCTTTGTCATATTGCCTAATAAAAAAGATTCCCACGTATCATATGATACTACTACAAAAAAGACCTTTTAAATCGGTTATTTTGACCCTTTTAAATCGGTTTTGAACCGATGCAAAAGCCAGCGATGCAAATACTCAGGTTACTTAGGAGGGTGCCAATAAGACTATCACATACATTTTTTTCTATATGCATCACATCAAGACAATGTCTGACAGATAAGCACTCCCAATAAGGTAGTTCCCAAAATATTGATCTTTTCTTCCAAATAGGACCGTTTGGATCAACTTTCTATGTCTTACCAAATGTATGCTTTATGTTCTTCAACTTCTCATGCAATGCTTTGCCACTCAATACTTTCGGAGCAACCTCATTTTCTGCTTGACCATTGAAAGCTTTTCTCATGCGACGGTAAGGATGTTGACGTCTTAAAAATCGGCGATGACCTAGGAAGACTGTTTTTTTCCATTCTTTAGCCACACACTAGAAGTATTCTCCTCACATATCGAACATGCATATTTTCCCTTAATCTTATAACCAGATAGGTTACCGTATGCTGGATAGTCATTGATTGTCCAAAGAATCATAGCACGTAACGTGAAACACTCTTGACGATAAGCATCAAATACTGTGACGCCATGAATCCACATTTCCTTCAAGTCATCAATCATTAGAGCTAAGAATAAATCAATGTCATTACCCAGTTGTTTAGGCCCAGGTATTAACAATGATAGCATGATGTACTTGCGCTTCATGAACAACTCTGGAGGAAGATTGTAAATGACAAGCAGTACCGGCCAAGTACTATGTTGCGTACTCAAGCTTCCAAAAGGATTGATCCCGTCAGTACACAATCCCAATCGAAGGTTTCTCCCCTCGTTCCCAAACTCTAGAAATGTGTAGTCAATCGTCTTCCACTATGGGGCATCGGCAGGATGACGAAGGGTGCCATTATCTTTTCGCTGCTCTGTGTGCCACACTAGATTCTTAGCGTCCTTTATCGAAGCAAACAAACGCTTGAACCTTGGTATTATTGGAAGGTATCACAAAACCTTAAACGGAGTCTTTTTGGTTTTTTTCATATTGTCCTTATTATGAGTCATTTTGGTTGACTCCTTGTATCTTGGAGCAAAACACTTGGGACATTCATTGAGATCCTCGAACTCATTTCAATATAAAATGCAATCATTAACACAAGCATGTATCTTCTTGTAGCCCTCACCCATTGGAGACATCATTTTCTTCGCCTCATAAGTGGACGATGGCAATTCGTCTCCCTCTGGAAGAAGTTCACCCAACAAACTTAATAAAGACGTGAAACTTTTGTCACTCCACCCATTTGCTACTTTTAAATTGAACAATTCCAAAACCCCTTTCAAACGAGTAAACTTTGTACAACCAGGATACAACGGGCATTTTGAGCTTCCTACTAAGCTCTCATACATATTACGCTCTTCATCAATGACGACTTGATCAGGAGGAACATCTTGAGTGGCCCCTAACTCATCTTCCAATTCAACCTCAAGATTGTGGATGTCTTGGCTATCATCCTCGACTTGTTCATTATGAGTATAGCTAGAGCTGCAAGGATTTTCTAACTCTCCATGCCATTTCCATCGCAGGTATGTTGGGTCAAAACCCTTGCGATACACATGTAATATTATATCTTTAACGCTACCAACCATAAAATGGTTGTGACATGAGTTACAAGGACAATATAGCTTTTTTCCTTCTTTTGAATGTTTCTCTGCGAAACGAATAAACTCTTCCAAACCAGAACTAAACTCAGGTGATGTACGCGACATATGAATCCAACTTCTATCCATCATATGAATTGTTAATGATTGATACATGCCAAACAATGCACAACAAAATTTTTAAGACGTACTCATTTTGTATATACACACAAACATATAAGAAATGCAGGCAACACAATATTTTATTTCTTATGATAGTCCGGCAGCACTTCTTCATTATACAAATGGTCCTTCTTTACACCATCCTAACCCATTCTTGAAATGCCACCCTCACTAGTAAATGTATTTCATTTTCTTTGACCTATCAAAATTTCGGCAGCATTTCCCAATGGTTCTCCAAGTGCATGATGTAACGTAACTACATATGCACCTGAAGAACACATTAAGGAAACGTATTGCCAAAAAATGACAGAACAAAGAGAAGGAAATACACTCACTACCTAAGTGAGAGAAGCATTTCAAGAACAACTTCAAACTGGGAGCTATTTAAAATTTACTCCTAATGAGTTAAACGGGTATCTTGGTCGGTCAATATATGTTATTTTTATATTATAACATCTCATATCATGTACAATCAAACAAAAAGTAATTAAACAATCTACATTTCAAACGTAATCTATATCACAATGTCACATTTCAACTTAAACATAAACACAAAAGTAATTCAAATATATAGTAAATAAAATATTAACCTAGTGCAAATATATATAAGAAATAATAGTATAATTAAATATTTAAAGTTTAAAAAATAAAAAAATACATTAAAGAAGGCTACGAAGGCACGGAGAGGGCTAGGGCGACGGAGGGAGAGGGCGACGGCAGAAGAGGAAGACGGCAAGGAGAGGGCGACGGCGGGAGAGGGCTCCGGTGGCGATTGGCAACAGGGAGGACAGTGTGACGGCGGCAGTGGAGTTCGATGGCGAAGTGGAGGAGGACGAGGAGTGGGAACAGCGGCGACGATGAAATGGAGGACGGCGATGGATGAGAATGGCGACGACGACAGAGCACAGATACGACGACGAAGGAGGGTTTGGTTTTCAAAATTGGGTAAGGATAATGAATTGGAGGCTCTAGAGCACGTTTAAACAAGGTTTTTTTGCATCGGTTAAATGTAATAACCGATGCAAATGTTATTTGAATCGGTTATTACGTTTAACCGATGCAAATGCTTAACATCATTTGAATCGGTTAAACGTAATAACCGATTCAAATAACCTTTTGAATCGGTTATTACGTTTAACCGATTCAAATGCTTACCGATACGCGAATTTTTTTTCATTTAAATCGTTTGTTTCGCGAACCGATGCAAATGTGGTGATTATTTGGTCGTTTTTCTAGTAGTGTGATTCAAAATAAAATGCCTCAAATACACATGTTTCGTGCAATTTGGATATGCGTTACTCAATAATTTGGCCTAACTTACAATGCCATAGATACTTCAGATTCAAGTCACTTGTTTTAGATCTTTTAGTTGAAATGTTATAGATTGATTTGTCCATGTCTAGAATATATAATCCACATATCATATTAGCTTTAGCATAAAGCATATTGTCTTTATAGATGGAGAAACAATTGTTCTTTATTGAAACGATAAAACAAGTTTTATCAAGACATGATATGGAAATTATATTTCTAATAATCGAAGGAATGAATAAGTAATTCTCTAATTGTAAGACAAATCTAGATGGTAAGGTTAAGCTATAGGTGCCAACAGCTTGTGCCATAACTTTTGTGTCATTGCTAACACGATGTTCAACTTGCCACAAGCTAACTTTCTACTTTCCTTTAGTCCCTGCATCGAAGTACAAATATGAGATCCGCATCCCGTATCAAGTACCCATGTAGAGGAAGTAGATATGTTAACTTCTATAACATACACACCAGAAGTAGAGGCATCACCCCTTTTTCTCTTCATTCTGTCACGGTGGTCCTTTGCAGCCAAATACCTTTCATACTCGTTATCCCCCGCGAGAGCTCCTTTGACATTGAGGCTAGCATGATTTCAGTAGCAATTCTGATAAGTCCGTTTCGTACTTATCTTTTTACTCATATTTAATATGTTCTCGTACCATTTTAATCATCAAATCAATTAATTCTTTATTCTCTTTCATCAAAATATTATGTTTCGATAATTTTATCATAAAAAGAATGTCTTTGAATTGATATGCAAAATTGGGCCAACAATGGAATAAAAAGAGTCAATTTTCAATAGAAAAATAATCTCAAAAGGTGCGGAATTTGAAGTTGGCATAAATAGAAGAAAGGTTCTGGAAAATTCTAAAGGTTTTTTTAGAGAAGAGTTGAATTCCCTGGAGAACTTTAGAGAAATTTTTAGAGGGTTATGGAAGATTATGGAAGCCTTTGGAATTCTCTAGAGAATATGTGGAGCCTTTTGTGGAAGAGTGTAGAAGAAGGATATCTCTAAAATTGTGGAAAGCTCTAGAGAACAACTCTCCACCATCTTAGAGATGAAGTAGTATAAATAGAGGTGGACTCCATCACTTCTACCAAGCTTTTCCCTTGCAATTTCCCCCCTTTAGGGGCGAATTCCTTTCTGTTATGTCCCAGAATATTGTATTAAAATTGTATTAGCCAAATATTCTTTCTCGAGAGTTAATTTTCTAGTTTTGAAGCACTGTAAGTTTTTCTTTTGTTTTTATTGTAATCCTTATCGAACCTTTTATTAATAAAATATCATTTTGTTTACTTTGTTTTATATTGATGATCGAAATGTCTTTAGGAATTTTATATGTTGCTATGATGATGTTTGATGTTTTATTTAAGAAAATGAATTAGTAATTTCACATGGGTTAGGATTTGGAAATAAGATTTAACCAATTTAATTTTATATTTTAATTAGTAAATGGATTAATTGTTAGAAAATGATTTAATAATGATTAATTACTATAATTGTTTTAATTATTAATTAATCCTTGGAAATTAATCTTTTATCTTGTCTATGAGGTAATAAGATTAATTAAGCCACACATTCCAAACACCTAGAAATAGGCAGGGTTAGAAATAACCATTTGGAATGATTTTAACTACTTAATACCAGCTGAGGGGCCGTCTTCCTACCCCTCTAGCTGAGGGGCCAAGTGAGAGCTACGTGGCGTCCCACCACCCAAGTTACTCTCTTGAAGACCCGGGCTTGCCCAGCTTTGGCGAGTCCACTGGCCACTCTTTCATCGGTCGAGCTCCTTCGCCACCTTCCTACGCCCCTCCGTGCCCATGCAAGCGAGGGTGGAATTGCGGCATGCATTGAAGTTCATTCTCATATTTTAATTGTAAGGCGTTTACGCCGTGTACTTAACCCATTCTCAGGGATGAATAAAATTTGAATTTGGTCTTTAAGGCTTGTTCTTGCCCTTAGTCATAAGTTTAGAATGTTTGGCCTTCATCCGGGAAAAACATCTGGGGATGGCCTACGCTCGGACTTCCTTCCGAGGAGGAGCGCCGGGCGCGAGTGTGGCCTTCATCCGGAGAATCGTCCGGGTATGCCTGCGCTCGGCCTTCCATCCGAGGGGGAGCGCCGAGCGCGAATGTTACCTTCATCCGGGTAAAACATCCGGGAATGGTTTGCGCTCGGCCTTCTTTTCAGTGAGGAGCGCGAATGTTGACCTCCATCCGGGAGAAACATCCGGGTGTCTACGCTTGGCCTTCCTTCCGAGGAGGAGCGCCGAGCGTGAATGTTTGACCTTCATCTGGGAAAAACATCCGGGTATGGTCTTTGCTCGGCCTTCCTTCCAGTGAGGAGCGCCGAGCGTGAATGTTGACCTCCATCCGGGAAAAGCATCCGGGTATGGTCTGCGCTCGGCCTTCCTCCTGAGGAGGAGCGCCGAGCGTGAATGTTGACCTCCATTCGGGAAAAGCATCTGGGTATGGTCTGTGCTCGACCATCCTTTCGAGGAGGAGCGCCGAGCGCGAATGCTTGACCTTCATCCGGGAAAAACATCCGGGCATGGTCTGCGCTCGACCTTCCTTCCGGTGAGGAGCGCCGAGCGCGAATGTTGACCTCCATCCGGGAAAAACATCCGGGTGTGGTCCGCGCTCGGCCTTCCTCCTGAGGAGGAGCGCCAAGCACGAATGTTCGACCCCTGTCCGGGAAAGACATCCGGATTCGGTCAAAGCGGGTTCTATTCGAAAAAAACTTCATTTTATTGAGTTCAATCCAAAGACTTACGGGTTCCCCTCTTGGGGCCCGTGTACATCAGAGTTCTACTAATAAAACTTAACCAAATTCTCGGCATTCCACGTCCCGGGCACGTCCCCTCCGCTCGGCGTCTGCAGTCGGAATGTCGAAGGGCCTACCACTTCTTTGATGATGTAAGGGCCTTCGTAATTTTTGGCAAACTTTCCACCTTCTAGGGGGTGGCTCACAATCCTCTTGCGCAACACCCAACCTCCTTCGAAGAATCCACGCGCGTGCACGCGCCCGTTATGGTAACTCTTCACTTTCCTTCGATAGTTTTCTGCCCATATGAAGGCCGCTTCCCGCCTTTCGTGCACGAGGTGGAGCTCGGCTGCCAGGGCTTCTTCATTGCGCTCGCGGTCGAAGATCTCCTCCCGGTGGGTTGCGATGGAGATTTCTGCGGGTGCCCTTGCCTCGAATCCGTAGCATAGGGCGAAGGGAGTTTCCCTAGTTTCCCTTCGGGGCGTGGTTCGGTAGGTCCATAAGATATGAGGCAACTCCTCCGCTCACTCCCCTCTGCAGGCTTCCAACTTCCGCTTCAGCCCGTCGACTATCGTTCGGTTGGCGTTCTCGACCTGCCCGTTCGTCTGTGGGTACCTGACCGACGCATAGCTTTGCTTGATCCCCCAACTTTCTAGAAAGTTGTTGAAGGGTCTGGACTCGAATTATGTTACGTTGTCGGTGATTATGTGTTCGGGAACACCGAAGCGGCAGATGACTTGCTTCGCCACGAATATTTGGCACTGAGCTCTGGTTATACTCGCCAATGGGGCTGCCTCCACCCATTTGGTGAAATAGTCGATGGCTACAATGACGTACCTCACGTTCCCGGTACCTCTGGGAAGTGTGCCGACAAGGTCCACCCCCCATCGCGCGAACGGGATGGCTGTGTTGATGGGGGTATAGTTTGTTGAAGGCCTCCCCGGCACCTTCTGGAACTCTTGGCAAACCTTGCACTTTTTCACGAACTCAGCGTAGTCCTTAACAATTGTTTGCCAAAAATATGCTTGGAGGGTTATCTTCCTTGACACCGCGTATGCCCCTTGGTGGGCGGAGCATATCCCTGCATGCACCTCGCCCATGACTTGTTCCGCTTCAGTCGGCCGTAGGCACCTGAGCAGCGTACTGTGGTAGGCTCGCTTGTATAGCTTTTCGCCCTCCAAAGTGTACCCCGGTGCCCTAGTCCGGACCAGCTTGGCCTTCATTGCATTATCCGGGAGGTAGCCATCCTTCAGGAAGGCGACTATGTCGTCCGTCCAATCTCTTGGCCGAGCACATATCATTGCCACGGGGAAAGCATGGATGCTCAGCTCGGACAATTCTTCCACGTTCGCCATTCGCCTGATATGCTCGGGCGTGTCTGAGCTCAGCTTCAACAAGATATCCTCCTCGGCGTTCTCTGCTCGAGGGATATTCTCCACACTATGCGTGGTGAAGCTCTTAAGCAATTCTAGAGCGGTATCTGTGTACTTCTTCATTCTTTCGTCTTTCGTCTCGAACTCTCCCGAGACGTGGCCAACTACGAGCTTCGAGTCACACTTTACCCTTAGCTTCGTCGCGTTCATTCCGGCTGCTAGGCGTAGCCCGCACCGGAGCGCTTCATACTCTGCCTCATTATTTGATGCCTTGAAGCCGAATCGTATTGGGTAGTATGCTCGGAAGCCTTCGGGAGCGATGACTACCACTCCACCCCCCGAGTTTTTGGCGGCGGAGGAGCCGTCGGTAAAAACTGTCCACGAGTCGTCGGCTTCCGGCTCTTCCGGCCTCGGCTCCTCCCGAGCGGTGCACTCCACCATGAAGTCAGCTAGCGCTTGGCCCTTGATCGCTAGTCTCGGCTTGAATTCAATCTAGATTGCTCCAAGGAACACTGCCCACTTGGACATGCGAGAGGGCGCGTTCGGGCTCCTGAGCAGCGCACCTATGGGCTGCTGGGAAAGCACTTGAACCGGGTGGGCTTGGAAGTAGGGCGTCAGCCGCTGCACGGTTGAAACCATGGCTAGAACCATTTTTTCGACCACTGAGTACCTCAGCTCGGCGCCCCTCAACGTCTTTGCTGTGTAGTACACCGGGTACTGAGCTCTGCCTTCCTCTTGGACGAGAACCGAACTCAATGCTTTAGGAGACACCCCCAAGTACAGATATAAAGTCTCCCCGGCTTCGGGCGTCGTGAGGACACCGGGTACTGAGCTCCGCCTTCCTCTCGGACGAGAACCGAACTCAATGCTTTAGGAGACACCCCCAAGTACAGATATAAAGTCTCCCCGGCTTCGGGCGTCGCGAGGACCGGAGGAGAAAGAAGGTAGGACTTGAGAGATTCAAAGGATTGTTGACATTCTTCCGTCCACACGAACCCTCAGGCCTTCTTCACGGCTTAAAAGAACGGAGCGGCTCGGTCTGCCACCTTGGAGAGGAAGCGGCTTAGCGCAGCCAACTTCCCGGTCAAGCACTGCACCTCCATGACATTTCGTGGAGCTTCCATGTCAAGGATGGCACGCACCTTCTCGGGGTTGGACTCAATGCCGCGCCGGCTCACCATATGTCCCAAGAACTTTCCGCCTTGAACCCCGAACGTCCACTTCTTCGGATTCAGCCAAAGGTTGTACTTCTTCATGATCTTGAAAACTCCTTCCAAGTCTTTCGCATGGGTGGTCGCCTGCTTGCTCTTTACAATCATGTCGTCGACGTACGCTTCCATGCTCTTCCCGAGGACGGGCGCGAAGAGCTTGCTTACCATCGTAGCATAAGTTGCCCCAGCGTTCTTGAGCCCGAACGGCATCACCTTGTAACAATATACCCCGCCGAGGGTAGTGAAAGATGTCTTCTCTTCGTCTGCGGGGTGCATTCAGATTTGGTGGTACCCGCTGAAGGCGTCCATAAAACTCATGAGCTCGCAACCCGCCGTTTCATCCACCAACTGATCAATGTTCGGGAGTGGGAATGGGTCCATGGGGCATGCCTTGTTCAGGCCAGTGTAATCCACGCACATCCTCCAAGTGTTTCCCTTTGGTGCTAACACTACGTTGGCCATCCACTCCGTGTACTTAACTTCTCTGATATGCCCAATGCTCTGAAGGGTGGCTACTTCTTTGGCGACAAACTCCCTCCGCTCGGACGAGAGGAACCGCTTCTTTTGCTTCACCGGCCTAGACTCCGGGTTGACCACAAGTCGGTGGCATATGATCTTGGGATCCACCCCCGGCATATCCCCGGGTCCCCACGCGAACATCATGCGGTAGGCAGCGAGCACGTCCATCAAGTGCTTCCGTTGGCTCCCAGTCAGGCTCGCCCCGATCTTCACCTTCCGCTCGGGTGCCCGAGGGTCGAGCAGCACCTCCTCGACGTCCTCGGCGGGCTCGGCCTTCGACCGTCCTTCCAGCTTCCGCATTTCCTCGTGCGCGTGCACGACCATCATCTCGTCCCTTGGCAACTTCTTCGTGATTCGGACGTAGCACGATCGAGCTAGCTTCTGATCTCCCCTCGCCACCCCAATTCCCAAAGGAGTGGGAAACTTCATGCATAAGTAGTACGGGGAGATCACGCATTCCAAGTCCTCAAGGCCGGGCCGTCCTAGGATCATGTTGTGTGCACAGTTGATACTTACAATCATGAACTCCATCTTCAGCTTGGCCTTGTGCGCACCATCCCCTACTATCACGGGCATAGTGATGACTCCTTCAGCCTCGATGGAGTCTCTAGTGAACCCGGAGAGAGGAGTGCGCACCGGCCTTAAGTCCTTACGGTTCAGGCCGAGGTCTTGGAAAGTCTTCTCGTACATTACGTTAACTGAGCTCCCCGTGTCCACCAAGGTGCGGTGCACTATGGCATCGTTGATCTCAATTCTCACGACCAAGGCATCCCAATGGGGACTCGGCGTGTTTGGAAGATCCTTCTCCATGACCTGGATTTGCTCCCGAGCTTGGGCACCGGCACCCGATGGACTTTGGCAACGAAGGCCATGTGTTTCCACCTCTTCCTTTGGGCGACAGAATCTCCACCAATGTTTCCTCCGTGGATAAATCCCACCGGATACCCCTGGGCTTCGTCCTCGTCTAGATCATCGCACTCCCGCCCGATGTGCCTCTTCTCTGGGTTCCTTGCTTGCATGGCCACCACGACCGGCTCGGTCGGCTTCCTCCAAGTCCTCCCTTCTGGCGGCCCCCGAGATGGGGCTGCTCCATCGTCTCGCGGAGCCGGCCCTCGGGCGATGAGTCGCTGCATCTCCTTCTGGGGAGTGAAGTATTCCTTAGTGTTGTGAGTGTTGTTACGATGATACTCGCAGTACTTGCTACCGCTGGAAACCACGTAAGCCTCCAAGTGAGGGAGCGGGGAGAGGGCTAGCTCTCGACCCATCCCCACGGACGCGCCGACGGAGTATACACCGGCCGAGGACGTCCTAGGGCCCGCTGTGTAGTCCTTCTTCTTCTTCCTCTTCTTCGCAATCTCTCCCGAGTCCGCGGGAGCTCGCTTGGCGGCCTCAGAGTCGGGGGCATCATCGAACTCCTCCGAAGCTAGGAACTTAGCGCGCGCCAAGGTTTCTTGGTACGTGGGAGGAGGATTCTTGCGGAGCTCCTTCCTCACCTCTCCGCGGGGAAGAGCTGCTTGGAACATCGCCACTAAAGCTTGGTCGTCCGCCCCGTGCACGTCTCTGGCTTACTTCTCCCATCGGACTATGAAAATTCGGACCTTCTCTCCTCTGCGGATGCAGATGTTGAGGAGGTGTGAGTATGGCAACCTTTGCCTTCTGTTGGCCGCGAAATGCGTCACGAACTTCTCCGCCAGTGTATCCCAATCGTCAATGGTTCCCTTCGGGAGCCAGTTGAACCAATCGCACGCGAAACCCTCCAGCGTCGCGAGGAAGCACCGGCACTTGACCTCGTCCGGGGCTGCCGCCGCTTCCATCGAAGCATAGAACTTTGACAAATGATCTTGGGGGTCCGTCGTCCCGCTGTAAGCCTTGATCTGCCACGGCCGGAAGTTTGCAAGCAGCGGAACTGACATAACCCTCATAGTGAACGGGGTTACCGTGCGCAAGATGGCTGGCTGTAGGGGGCCCTCGTCTCTACTCGGCGCTTGAGCTCGGCAATCTCGCGCACGAGCTCAGTCACCCCCCGTTCAGATACCTTTGTCTTCTCGGTTCTCGTTGGACTCTAGCGACGCTGAGTCTGCTCGACACTTTATCCTTTTTAATATTCGCTGAATAAATTGTGATGTTAAATGTCAATTTTGTAGTAGTGTTCATGGACTTCTTTATTTAATTGAGAGAAAAAAATCTTGCTATATAAGCAAGGGGTATGAGGTTTAATAAGATATTTACAACCAGAATTTGAATATGAGGCACGACACGCAGGTCATATTAAAAAATCATATATTCTAAGCCACAACCATGCACCATGCAAACATACATACATCACATGCATAAAATTCATACACCGGGCAAGCCGCGCTCCCCTAAACCTAGTTTATTCTAATAAAATAAACGACAAGCCAAAATTTATCAAATAATTCATTAAAATTTATTTTAAGACATCAAAATACTTAGAATATTTAATTCTGAATTTTTCAGAAATTTTAAAATAACATTATCGTAAATATTTGTATTTATTTCGATATTGGGATTTTAATTGGAAATAAATACTTATTCTTATTGCAAATTAATAAATAAATTCAAGAATATGTATTTGAATTTTATAAGTCCGAAAATCAAATTTCCATAATTTATAACACATTAATTTCATAAGTTTCAATTAATTTATTCCGTAATCAAGAATTAATTTCCAAAATTATTCTTGTATATCATTAATATTCCAAAAATAAATATTTTCATAATATAATGATACTATGACCAAATAATAAATTTCCAGATTCTGAAATATTAAATAAGTATTTTTATAAATTTCTTTTCCAGTAATTCGGAAACTACCAAAATAGAATTTTTCAAAATTACGTATTTAATATTCTAAATCAGAAATTTTACTTTAGAACTTTTATAAAATCTGAGAATCATATTTCCAAAATTATAAAATATATTTTCGAATTTTAATTATCTAATTCCATTTAATCAATATTAAAGCCGAATTAGACAAAATTAAATCCCAAAATTAGAATTTAACTTACAAAAATTATTTTAAATTTTCAGAGTTTAAATATATATATATAACCAAATGTTTTTATATATAATATTATATTCCAAAATATTTTATTTTACTATTTTACAAATATACAAATTACTTATTATCTCATTGTTTAATCCTACTCCTTAAATTGTTCATAGTGTGTGACCCGTTTAGGCACTTATAAAGCTGGCCACAGTATTAGCTCTGCACCAATACTATAAGCAATAAGCGGTATCTAGCAACACATTATTGCCCCCAGATTAGAAGTTTAGAGGTATGCACCGTCAAAACCTTTCCACGACTCAGACTCCATGTAACTGTATCTCTTTGTCTTAATGTCTAGACTTAATTCAAGGGATAATAAAATTCAGCTTGTATCCATTAAGCCATTCACTAATTTATCAAGTATGTAATCTATGTATGTAATCTATGTTTCTGAATACGTGTTGCAGCATACCCAAAACAAAGCGTGTATGCCATCCTTATTTCATATGGCTTAAGACAATGCATCAAAGCATGTGGGTTCACATATGCAGAAAACGTAATACTTAAAGTCGAAGGATAGTTACACCCATGGTCGCGCTAAAGATGCTTAGAGCATGAACTAAAAGTTGAAGCAACATCTTTAGGATGGGTCAGTCCGACATCCTATTATCTCTAGATAATATCTGCCCATGTGCGGATGCGAACACTCCGTCACTGACTATGAGACTAAGTCAATCATCCAACACACTAGTCTCACATGCATTAAGGATATCCTGCTCTCATTAATACTCAACTATGGACATTCAGATAAATATTTATTTCAAGATGTTAGTCTCTTTAGGAGAAAAACACTATCTGGTAAACATCTTTAAATATAAATCTAGGAATATAATATTTGTTTACATTAGCATGAGATGTGTAAACATATTATATATGGCTATACATGATAGAATACTGATAAAACAGTTGGCCATCAGGGCACAACTCCAACAGTCATAGGTTTATAAACCAAATGAATGTTTTAAAAATGCAAAGTAATGTTTGATCAACTTTTGTCAATGCTCAACCCACTTTTTCCTGAAGAGGGGCCCGATCTTGGTTGGTCTTTTGGCGATTCTCACGGTCTACGATCTTGTAACACCCTGCGACCCGGTCTAATGGAATTGATTAATCTAATTAATTAATTACTAACTCGGACCGGGGTTTGGAAAATAAAATCCTTAGAAAAATTATTTGATTATGTCATAATATTCGTTTTGACTGTCCGATTCCAGAAACGTAAACGGATCTCAATTCGGACCCGTTCGGGGAAAATACCGCGTACCGTTCAGGTCAGATTTTACACAACGGAACAAAAATTAAGGGAGGTAACCTCCCCATTTAATCTTCCACGCCACACACACCCATTTCTTCCCTTAAATGCCTCATCATTTCTCAATTAACTCCCCCTTAATTCCCCTTTAATATAATCCTCCCTCTCCTCTTCACTTTCCCCACCATTGTAACCCCCATCAACCTCCATACTCTCATCCTCTCCCCTCTCTTGTATTCGGCCAGTTCATAGCAGCCAGGCGAGGTAGTTTTCCGGCGAGAAGGAGAAGAAGAAGGGAGAAGGGAAGAAGGGCTACGCGAGAAGCCATCCGTTCGTCGTTTGTTGTCCGTTCGTTAGCCGTTCATTCATCCGTTACCGTTATAGTAAATCTCTGCGTTTAGAGGTGAGTACGTTGCCCTCTAACTTTAGAATTCGTAGTATAATCATATCGTTATATTCATAGGATTACCGGCTAAACCTACGTGCATCCACATCGTCATGACTTTTCGGTTATTAGGCCTTTCGATTACACACTTGTTAGTATAAACGTTACAAAACGTTGCAAACTCATCAATACTTAAGCTGGAAACATAAACGTTCATTTCTAAAACTCTCAACGTCTTAATGAAAATCCAACAGGCAAAAATAGGAACCAGCGTGCCTTAATAATCGATTTACAGAATCTGACAATCGATTATTAGGTCGCGCTGAACTCCTCAGTTTTTCAATAAGACGAGATAATCGATTATCACCTTGCTGATAATCGATTATTGGGTCCTGCGGAATCTCAAGTCCGGGCCGGTTCTTTTGATAATCGATTATCACATACCTATAATCGATTATCAGGCCCCTCTGAACTTGGGTGTCCTGAACAAATACTTTGACAATCGATTGTCATGAGGAGACAATCGATTATCATGGCTTGCGGAACTTGGGAACAGGAACTGCGTAACATGATAATCGATTATCAGATATGGTTAATCGATTATCAGCCAGTTCTGAACCCAGGTCTGCCATGTTGAACAAGTTGTTTACATATGGAATCAAATATATTTGCATGTGTTGAATGTAACTTCATTCTCCAACCCATGCATTCATATCATCATGTATAACCTAGACGCATGTTTAGGACCATGGCATACGTTGCATACCACGGCAAGGGGTCAGGCCCACTGCGCCTCTTCCGTGGGCCCGTCCAGGAACCTGCGAGATCCAACGGGTTTTCATCATGAGGGCTTGTGTACGTACATGTTAGCTAGGCTGAGCTATCACCCACATTCTAGTCTCCATTGGGATGACTAAGGCATTTCTCGGCTCATCTACCACGTGGGGATGATCACCGAAGGGCAGGGGGTCCCTGCGCAGTCTAACTCATGCATCATGTTTATTTGACATGACATTATTGTTATTTGTAACTCTTATCCGTTAAACTTGTACGTGGTATCCCGTACTTAGTTCAGGTACGATCATGTCTATATCAATGTGAATGTGCTATGCGTTCTACTGTTAGATTACCACTCAGCTTTTGCTGAGCGTATAGCGTTGTTTTCCCTTTGCTATACGCAGGTAGGCAAGAGAACCATGGAGCCTGACCCGGATGACTGGGTGATAGGAGCTGCGGATGAACGACAGTGTGGGCTAGATGAATTACTTAATTAATTTATGAAAACGTTTTGGGCATGAACCCACCTTTTGTCGCATTTACGTTATTTATGACCTAACAGTTTTACTTACATTTACTTCCGCTATAAACTTCTTTTAAGTGAATCCATCCTCATCATTTAATAAAGCATGTCAAGGGTTTTTCGTTACAAGCCACGCAAGGGGTTTTCCTTGTAGACGGCCTTAAACCGTCTACGTAACCTCTCCGGCACGTTAGACCGCGGTGAACCGGGTTCGCGGGACGGAGGGTGTTACAGATCTTCTTTACCCATTCCGAGAGATCATCAAGGCTCTCTTATATCTTCTTGATCAGATCAACCACATGCTTTTTGAAAAACTTCTTGAATTTCTTGAAGGGGTTCTTGGAAGATGAAGCCATTTGGGAATGGTGACACATGAGCTTTGCGGAGTATGTATGGGAGGCAGACTCAGAACACTTGGTCTTTGTTGTAGCACGAATGGGAACCTTCTCGTTGTCATCGATATCAGGCTCTTGAGCTTGAGAAGAGGAGGGGATGGATGACATGGATCTCCGGGGGCCATTCTCCGCTCGGGTTTCCACATCAAGATTTTGAAACTCCCATTTCATGTAGTATGTATCTCCTATATTGATGAGGCCACAGTACCCAAGACACTTCGCATCAAGAAAGAAAATGCCCGAGTGACGAATCTCGAGGATGCCATGCTTGGCAAAGATGTGGGTGAGAACCATGCTGTATGGTTTATTGAGGCGGCCGGAGCTTTCGTACATGTGTTGGATTATGAGGGATGGAAGGTTGGTTTTTTGTGGGTGAGGAGCCAATAGAGGAGTGTGCACTCATAAATCCCGATAAGTTTGTCCTTGTTAAGGATGGGAATTATGTTCTCCTTAAGGATTTTGAGGAGAATGAACCGATTGGCGGTTAGGTTTTAGACTTCGGGACGGTGAAGGATATAGTTTGGTTCCTCAAAGACATGATCAAGAGGAATGTCATTGAGTACGCAAAGGCAAAAGTCCATATTGAAGTTGCTTGAATCTGAAATCCACCCCTTTTTGCAATAGGTGGTGAGACCTTCAAGAGAGAGGTGAAAGTATTCAGCAAGGGATTGAGTGTTGAAGCTGAAGGTTTTGCCCGCTATAACGGCGGTGATGGAAGTGCTTCGATTATAGTATTTCATCAAGGAATAGAACTCGTGAACAAGGTCCGAATAGACTAGGCCTTGAAGTTGAAGAAAGTGGCTCCAACCTTGTTCATGAAGGATTTCATGCACGGGAACGGGGATATCATCTTGTTTCAATACTCGTCCCTCGAGAACGTGCGGGTGGCTATAAGCCTTGAACCTGGCTTGAGTGTCGGAAACAATTTCCTCATTGTTGTTGAAAAGAATAGAATAGGGATTGAAGCAAAAATTGATGAATTGAAGAAATTTAGGTAGAAGAGAGGAAAAAAGTGAAAAAATTTGATAAATTTAAGCTAATATGTGAAGAAATTGAAGAGATTGATGAAGAAATGCCCTTATATCGCCGTTCGGTAGAGAGAGGTTAGAGACGAATCGCGACCGGGAGAGATTTAAAATGAATCGGAATAGGGACTGCATAGGGTTTTAAACTGGCTAACCCGACGAGATGGTCAGTACCTAGATACCGTGCCAATGGTATATTGGTACCGTACCAACGGTACACCCTACCGTTCCTGGCTACCGTGAGATGTCCAAAACGAAATCCCCTCTAATGGTACCTATGTCCAAACGGCACCTCGGTACCATGGGGACGGTAGCCCCTACCGTGAAGACGGTATGGGGTACCGCTAGGGGTACCGTGCCGCTGCTTCCAACCTTGTATCGACCTCTAGGCACGTGTTTTGAGCATTTTGACTTGATCTATTGTTGTATATATTTTAATGGGTGTATAAGAACCTTAAATTCATTTGAATTCAAGCATTTCCATTTCCCGACAAATAGGTAAAAATTGTTTTTCATCGAGAGGTTTTGTAAAAATTTTGGCACGTTGTTCAAGCGTTTTGACATACTCAATCAGAATATCACCTTTTGCAACATGATCACGAATAAAATGATGACTTATTTCTATATGCTTAGTCCTAGAATGCAACACGGGATTTTTGGAAATATTTATAGCACTAGAATTGTCACAAAAGATAGGTACTTTCGAAAATTTTAGGTTAAAGTAACCAAGTGTTTGCATCATCCATAAAATTTGAGCAACACAACTACCCATAGCCACATATTCCGCTTCGGAGATAGATGGGGCGACAGAATGTTGCTTCTTGGATGACCAAGATAGTAGTGCATGACCTATAAATTGACATGTGCCTCTTGTGCTTTTCTGATGAATGTGAAACCCTCCAAAGTCTGCATCACTAAAACCTATCAAGCTAAAATTCATATTATTGGGATACCATAAACCCACATTGGTTGTTCTCTTGACATATCGAATTATCCGCTTGACGATGTTTAGATGTAATTCTTTGGGTGATGATTGGAAACATGCACAAAGGCAAACAGAAAACATTATATCGGGTCTAGATGCAGTTAAGTAAAGTAAACTACCAATCATACCTCGATATAGCTTTTCACTTACGGGTTTTCTGCTTTCATCACTATCAAGCTCCAAAGACGTGCTCATTGAAGTTGAGTATGCTTTTGAGTCTTCAAGGTTGAACTTCTTGACAAGTTCCTTAGCATACTTAGTTTGACTAATGAAAATGACATCTTCAAGTTGCTTGATTTGAAGTCCTAGGAAGAAGTTCAACTCACCCATCATGCTCATTTCAAATTCGCTTGTCATCATTCTTGAAAATTCATTACATAACGCTTCATTAGTTGACCCAAAAATGATGTCATCAACATAAATTTGCACAATGATAAGATCTTTTTCTTTTGTTTTGACAAAAAGTGTGGAATCGATCATTCTTTTTGCAAATCCTTGTGAGATGAGATGTTCGGTAAGCCGCTCATACCAATCTCTAAGAGCTTGTTTGAGTCCATAAAGAGCCTTATGAAGTTTTAAAACATGATTTGGAAAATCAGAATTTTCAAAACTAGGGGCTGTTCAACATACACTTTTTCTTTCAATCATCCATTTAGAAAAGCACTTTTGACATCTATTTGAAGAAGTTTGAAGTTAAGAGCACTTGCAAAAGCTAATAACATGTGAGTATATTCAAGCCTAGCAATCGGAGAAAAAGTTTCATCATAGTCAAGTCCTTCAACTTAGCTATAGTCTTTAGCAACAAGTCGCCTTTTATTGGTGATAATAACACCATTTTGATCGAGCTTGTTTCTAAAAACCCATTTAGTGCCTACAACGGGTCGGTTTTCTGATCTTTCGATTACCTCCCAAACCTTGTTTCGTTCAAATTGCTCTAGCTCTAGTTGCATGGATATAATTTAATCACTATCTTTTAATGCATCTTCTACGTTCTTAGGTTAAAATTGACTAACGAACGCATAATATGAACAAATATTGTAATTGTTCCTAGTTCTAACTCCCTTTTCAATATCTCCGATGATATTGTCTCTTGGATGGTTCTTTAAGTGCTTGTACGATACGCCTTCGGAAGTTTCTTTCCCTCTTTTTCTTCTTCTTGAATGGGGATTTCCAGGGATTCTTCCTCCTCTTCTTCTTCATTTGTACCTGCAATTACCTTACTCGACCCAAAGGGATCGGTTTCATAAAATTTCACATGCATAGATTCTTCTACTTTATGATTTGATTTATTATATACCCTACAGGCTCTACTATTTTTTGAATATCCAATGAAGATTCCTTCATTTAACTTGGGCTCAAATCTGACCAAATGATCCTTGGTATTCAAGATATAGCATTTACAACCAAAAACTTTGAAATAGGCAATATTAGGTATTCTACCTTTCCAAAGTTCATAAGGGTTTTTTTATGATAGGTCTAAGTAATAATCGGTTTAGAATGTAGCATGCTGTGTTGACCGCTTCTCCCCAAAAATATTAAGGTAAGTTGTGGTCATTTAGAATGGTCCTTGACATCTCTTGCAACGCCCTATTTTTCCTTTCAACGGCCCCATTTTGTTGAGGTGTCCTTGGAGCCGAAAAGTTGTGAGAAATACCGTGTTTATCACAATATGTTTCAAAATTGGTATTTTGGTATTCTCCTCCTCTATCACTTCTAATAGAGGTTATGGTATAGCCTTTCTTGTTTTGAATTTTCTTGCACAATTGCATTTAAAGCATCACCTTTATTGGCAAGTAATATGTTGAAACACGGGCTTGTCACGTTTTCGTACTAAAGCCGTGTTCGTTTTTGTAACAGGTTTTGATAATGCCAAACTGCCGTGATCAAGACAAACATTGAATATACAAGGCGAAGAACGAAGATAAAGTACAAGAACTAAAAGAGACCAAGAACGAAGACCGCAGTCTTTAGTATTGTTGAGTCGGTCATAATTGTAAACAAGACCGACCCATCCCTCACACATTGGCTCTTTAGGCTAAAATCTTTTATCACATCATAAAAATATTTTTCAAACATGTTTAAGTCATTAAAAACACTTGGTGTTCGCCCAAACCAAAAACCAAACCATCCAGCGTTCGGGTTTCAGAAACCGGCGTTCGGCTCTCGGTTATCGGCTTTGGTTTTTGGCGTCCGAACCAACCGAGTGGCTTTCAACTTTTTATGATTGGTTTTCACTCTTTGGCATGTTTAAACGGTTCTCCCACAAAAACACTTTGAAAACCATCTTTCGCTTTTGGTCGTTTGACAAAAATCCTTCAAAACGGCATAAACTTGGCTAGCCGTGGTTGTCACTCAAATGACGTGGTTTTTAAAGTGTCTTACTTGATTTCTTAGCCAAATACATCAAATAAGTGTTTTAAACACTTGGTTTTTATTTTGGAGAACTTTGGATTTTTCGGTTGGTTTTTGCATCGTTTTGGCTAGGCCGTGGTTAAGGCAAAAACCATGGGTTCTTGACTAACCACCCACCCAGCGATGGGAAGATCTTCCCATCGATGGGTAAGCGGTCCCTAAGCCAAACCAACTTCCAGAACCATGCCAAACAGCGATGGGAAGATCTACCCATCGCTGTTAAAGCCTTGGTGCAACATTAACACAAGGCAGAACGACCTTGCCCAGCGATGGGAAACCTATCCCATCGATGGGAAACCTATCCCATCGATGGGAACCCAGCGATGGTAAGTATAAACCATCGATGGGAAGGCATGACCGTTGGAAGTCATTTAAGGTTGATTCTTTCCTTGTTTGGAAGTCAACCTCCCACCCAGCGATGGGAAGCTGGTACCCATCGATGGGTAGGTGACCGTTGACTTCAAAACTGAAGGAAAATTGGCTTACCAGCAATGGTTGAGTCTAAACATCGATGGGAAGCCAATATTCTGCAGATCCCAAATCTTTTCAATCCCATAAATCAAGCCAATCACCTCTTTAATGCATTGGTCCGTTGGAGCCTATTTTTGCACTATAAAAAGGGGTGTTTGGGTCTGCTTTACACACCAATTCACTTCACAACATTCATACTTTCATTGCATTCAAATATCATCATTTTCCATAGCTTTCTAGAGCCATTTTTGTGTGAAGGTTGAGTTGTTCTTGAGCGTACTTAGTTTACTCATAATCTACTCTACAAGAGAGTCTCGTTCTTGAGTGTATTCGTGTTCTTAGACACTTTGAGAGAAGGTATTTCTCTCGGTAGATTCAAAGGAAGGGTTGTTTCCTTTGAAGGATTCGTTGAGGTTCGTGTGACTCGAACTCTCAAGTTGTAACGGTTTGTTAAGCACCCGCAAGCTTAACGAGATAGTAGTGTAGCTCGAGAGAGTCTCTCGGGAGGCTAGGTTAGCCACAA